TTAAATAGCATGCAAATTTGCATTTTTAGCTGTTCATGGAAATACCTTACTAGAGGTACCTAAGTTCTCCATAGTAAAATCCTGTGTCTGCTTGGTGTAGTCCAAAGTCTATGCTTGTCTGAAAATAGAAGTAGTTCAGAAGAAAGAAATTCAAATTGTGAACAGAAAGGAAAATAAAACCAATAAAGAAAGGTGAAAGGTAACTTGAGAAGTGACAAGGGTAATAACTGCAGTGCACAACTAGACCTGTGATAGAGTAAGCAAACATTAGGACAAAATCCTCAAAGGTAAGGGCAATTCAGCTGGAGAATTGGTGAGTTTACCATGGTATCTGAGGTCTGCTTGCTAGAGATCATTGGACTCTGAACAGTCACTTTGGAGTTGCTTTATTTCTGAAGGTCCCATTTTGAATAGGATTCAACCCAATGGCCCATAAAGCCATTTTTATTGGTAATATTAAGTATTTACATACCAAATAAATATATCTATAGGAATTAGGGTAAATAGATACCTACTGAAATGATAAGGGTGCCTGAGGATTTGTAAACGTGTGGGGAAAACATGTTGACAAATTGCAAGGTGGCTTATTTTAGTTTACAGATTTGGCCCAAGTGCATAAGAAACTAAGAATCTCAGTCAAAATTATAATAAATATTTTCTGAAAGGGGAGTCAGATCTTGAGATGGAAAACTGGGAAATTTCTTGTATCCATCTTCAAGCTGCGCACTAAGCTTGTACATCTATAGTCACATCTGGTGGAGAAAAAAGTCTGAATAATGTTCTTATTCTGCTCAAACACAGCAGATGGATGGTTTCATCTGTTGGGGAAGGCAGGGAGACTAACTGAAATGGCAGAGGAGCTGACTTGTGGAAGAGGACTACTGGAAGAAATGCCATGTGAAGCTGTTGAGAAAAGGGATACTTTGAAGGGCAATATGGACATTTGAACATAATCATGTTGCTTTGGCAATTTGGATCAGGTATTTGCAGCACTTATAAGGAATGGCAAGAATGTTTGTTTTTTACAACAGGAAAAATAAAACTTGGGAAGTGAACATAGAAGAAACATACACATTTGTGGTCCAGGTGTTTTACCCAGATTATCTGATGGATTATCCTTAAGAATTTCATTGGCAGAAGATAGGTATAGATAAAAAAAAAAGCTTCAGAATGTTTAATGTTTGGAATTTACTTCTGCGAGATATCTTAAATCTCCAGGGTTGGGAAGGATGATTCAGTTATTCTTTGGTCTAATAGAACTGCTGTCCCCATATTTTCTTACTGTTTCAACTCTTAAGCAACTCTTGCTCCTCCCTTTAAAATCATGATGGGTTAGAACATGGGTCTTCAAACTACAGCCCGCAGGCCGCATGCGGCCTGGCGAAGCCATTAATCTGGCCCACGCAGGACCACAAGGCTGCACTGCTCATATTACCCCGCCCACCCTTTGGCCAAATGCAGGACTTAACTTTGCGAGCCCCACAGGCTGGAACTGAAAGGTAAGGCCAACAATTTTGGCCTGCAGAGACATTCTAGAAGTGGGGGAGATGAAAAGTGGGATGCACAGATACTCCAAGAGGCCAAAAAAATGGGTGAAAACTGCCTGTTTTTCACCTCCCCCACCTCCAGAAGATAGAGAGAGAGAGAGAGAGAGATTTCTCAAGCTCCTTGAGGCTGAGAAGAATTGCTGCAAAACTGAGTTTCCTAAAGTGGACCACTAGACTTGTAAACAACTGAAAAAATGATCTAGTAAAAGGAAAAGGCAACCAAAAGAGCAGCATGCAAACAAAAACAAATAAAACACCCTCAGGAGCAAAACAAATTAAAATTTAATTTGTGTGCATTGTCTAATGGACTGTTAAATTGGCCATGCCCACCTAGCTGCACCCAACCAATCACACGACCACCTAACCACGCCCACCCAGCCAGTCAGGCCCCCCCAATAGTCTGAGGGACCGTGAATTGGACCCCTGTTTAAAAAGTTTGAGGACTCCTGGTTTAGAAGGTAAAGCTAGGTAGAGAACAGTCTTTCCCTCCAATCTATCTAATTTATAATTAACTTTATTTATTTATTTATTTATTATTTATTTACATTTTTATAACGCCCTTCTCCCGAGGGACTCAGAGCGGTACACAGCCATACTAAAACATGTGTATCTATAAAATTTAAAAAACAGTTTAAAACATATTAAATGATTAGGCCCTATATTAAAAACTAAAACACCCATTAAAATCCATTCTTAAGCCAGCCCAGCCTGTTGAAACAGTAGAGGCTTAAGGGCACAGTGAAAGGTCAGGGATCATACGAATCTCCGGGGGCAGTTCATTCCAGAGGACAGGTGCCCCCACAGAGAAAGCTCTCCCCCTGGGGGTCGCCAGTCAATATTGTTTGACCGACGGCACCCTGAGGAGTCCCTCTCTGTGGGAGCGTATTGGTCGGTGGGAGGCTATCGGTGGCAGAAGGCGATCTCGTAAGTACCCAGGTCTTAAGCCATGGAGCACTTTGAAGATGGTGACAAGCACCTTGAATCACACCCGGAAGACCACCGGGAACCAGTGCAGCTCGTGCAGGAGCGGTGTTACATGGGTGCGTTGTGTCGCTCCCATAATCACCCGTGCGGCCGCATTCTGGACCAGTTAGAGCCTCCGAGTGCTCTTCAAGGGGAGCCCCATGTAGAGAGCATTACAGTAGTCCAGACGGGAAGTGACGAGGGCATGAGTGACCGTGCGCAAGGCGTCCCAGTCTAGAAAGGGACGCAACTGGTGTATCAGGCGAACCTGATAACTATATTTATTGTACAATAAATTTTAGAAAGCCAGACTGCTGTAGCAATTAGGGTGATGGTGTAGAAACCAGGAGTTTGCAAGTTCTAATCCTGCCTTATTACACCCAACTGGGTGACCTTTGGGCCAGTCATTCTCTCAATAATTAGGAGGAAATGGTAAACCATTTCTGAAATCTTGCCAAAAAAATAATAATAATATATATATATATTAAATTTTTGATTTATATGCTGCCCTTCTCCGGAGACTCAGGGCGGCTTACAATGCGCTAAGCAATAATAAACTTTATTATCATTGTATGTGTATACACATTATACACATACAATGAAATTTACTTAACACCCAAAGACCAGGTTCCACACACATAATCCACAAACACACTCCCATCCACCACAATTCCCCACCCCTAAACCACCCAAACATCCACACAACAGACCAAGTAATACAGTCCAACAGTTCAAAAAACTGCAGAGATGTATCTAGGCAGTCAGCAGGAAGCAACACTGACACACAAACTTTTTTTTAAAAAAATAATGGATATGTATAACCTACTGGTACATGCATCTATTCATTCTTTCACATAGCTGGGTAGATTGCTTTGTGTTATGTGAATTTCTGAATCATAGATATGGCCAAACAACCTATGAAGCTTTAGGATAATTTTATCCATTCCTGTGGTTAACTTACAAATCCTGGCCTGTTAAGGTGCATATTCTTGAGTTTGTGCATAACATGATTTATTCCTGGCTTAGTGATGTGCCAAGTGGAGTGACTGTCCTTCAGTCACAGATTAAGCTAGGATTCTTGGCAATGTGCAAATCTACATTTCCTGTGCAAATGTAAAATTAATGTGCAAATGCAAAATTAAGAACCAACCAGAAAGAACTTTTCTGCAGTTTTCAATCTTCCAGATGCAATCAACTTTAATTCCCAAAATCTCTAAATGCCATGGGTCCCTGTCCTATGTATTCTGGAAGATGAAGTTAAATACAACTGGAAGATACCATATCAAAATTAAGCACTGAAAAAGAATAGAATAATTATACTTTGAAACAGTATTAATTTGGTTTGAATTGAGAAAGGCAGTTCCCACCTCCTGTCCTTCCATGAAAACCTGAAGACCTGGCTGGCTGGGGACCCAATAGACTTCCACGCTGAAGGTAGCTACTGGACTAATAGCTGACCCAATCTCCTCCCCTTCCCCTGTGCACCCTGCTTCCTCCCTGCCCATCTTTTAATTCATATTGCTGCACTTCATTGTTTTACAATTGTTATATTTACATTTTTTAATAATTTTATGGTCTACTGCTGTAAGCCACCCAAAGTAGCCCCAGAGCGACATGGATGACAAATTTAATCATAAGTAAATTTTAGAAGAAAGCAAAAAGAAAATTCCAAACATAGGAATAAACCAGGGGTGTCAAACTCAATTTCATTGAGGGCCGCATCAGGGTTGTGTTTGACCTTGGGGGGCCAGGGTGGGCATGGCTAGCTCGACGTCACTCGTGTCGGGGATGCTTGTGGTGGCCTGAGCGCTCTGCCAGCGAAAACAGGCTCCCAAGCTCTGTTTTCAGCTGTGAATGCTTCCTGTAACCCCCTGCCAGTGAAAATGGAGCTCTGTTTTCACCGGCAGAGGAACTGCGGGCTGGTACTTTGCTGTTTCCAGGGTGGCTCCATGGACCAGATCTAAGCACCCCGTGGGCTGGATCTGGCCCATGGGCCTTGAGTTTGACACCCCTGGAATACACTGTCCAGGAAATGGCTAATTAGAACAGGTAGGCAATAGTGTGCCAGGCCCTTCAAATACACTGGACTATGACATCCATCAATCTTGGGATTGTAATACGCAGTTTCCAATTTAAATGAGAAAGTAATATTGAGAAGCAATATTACTTCTCAAGTTGAGAAGCAAATGGCAAATTCTCAAGTTGAGAAGCAAATGGCAAGAATAGCAAGAGGATTAAATACTGATTTTTGGTAAGACTTGTTAAGGACTGAAATAATAATGGAGCTAAACATATATGCAATACCAGTTCGACAAAATTCCAACAAATAAACCACTAAAGTGCCAAACTGCTGGGGATTTTTTTAAAAAAATCCAAATTGTATTAAATAGACAAAACTAGATTACCGGTATTTAAATCAGATGAGAAATTTGACTTGTGTAATATTAAAACTTGTCTATACCTCAGCAAGAAAATGAGGACATCAACATATCAAGATAATACGAAGCAATTTTTTATTAGACCAAAGAAGACAAGCTTTTTAACATTCTAGATAGTATGTAGGCCTCAAACCAGAAGGCTGGCAAGAGGAGGGAAACATATTAATGCAAAAGGTCCAACAGAATTCCAGGCTACATTTCAGTTCTCGGTGTTCACCTTTTCACAGGAAAGACAAAATGTTATTCTGCTGTAGAATAGAAGAATCCAAAAGTAGTTGAATTATATCGGACAATATGTAGTACAGTACAGTATAGCTAGTTTCTAAACTATATCCATCTTTTCTTCCCATTTTCGCAGCTGCTCCAAAAGTTGTTGATGTTGTAGAGAATCTGAAATCCTTAAGTCTGGTTCATTACCATTTAATGATGATGCCCCATGACTTTTTCCCAGTTCACAAAGAGTTTCTAAAACCTTGGGAATTACCTAGGTATGGAAGCGGGAGGAGGGAGGAGAGAGAGAGAGAGAGAGAGAGCAAAACTTCTGCTTATAATCAATTATTTAAATTTTGTTCATCTCTAATGAAGATGATCATTTCTGAAATCTGCATTTGTAGAAACTTTCAGTGTGAGATCTCATCTAGATGTGCACACATTGGACCATGGCTTGTTGAATAAGTCAAAAGGATTTAGTGTCATACAATATTCTAGTTTAGTAATGTACCATATGTGGCCCTCCAACTTTTGGGTAAGTCCTTCAGAGATTCCCCAAAGGCATTTCTGTTTCAGAAATGTTACCTTGTTTTCTGAATGCAAACATTTGGATTCTAAATTTTAATGTGATAGGAGAAAATATTAAATATAACCCCTGACTAACAAGGCATATTCTGTGGTAGCTAGTAAACTATAGATTAGAATTGTTGTATTTGGATAGCATATTAAGCCACGAATTAGAAATATACCGTATTTTTCGGAGTATAAGATGCACCTTTTTCCCCCAAAAAAGAGGGTGAAAATCTGGGTGCATGTTATACTCCGAATGTAGCCCCACCCAGCTTCTCAAACAGAGATTTCAGAGGTTGAAAAAAGCATCAGAAATGAAGCTTCAGAAAAAAAGCCCCCAAACAGAGCTTCAGAGGCTTTTTTCTGAAGCTGTTTTGGAGGCTTTCAGAGGCAGGAAAAAGTTTTTTCTGAAATGTAGTTTCAGAAGTTTCAGAGGCAGAAAAAAAAAGCAAAAAAAAAAAAGCTCACAACCAAGGAACCTGTTGCCAAAATTCACCTCTGAGAACAGCTGATTGGGGGTATTCCAGGAGGCAGATCCACCCCCAATCAGCTTTGTTCTTATTTTCCTCCCAAAAACTAAGGTGCGTCTTATACTCCAAAAAATACGGTATTCTGCTTTAATATGTCTGAACCTAGCTACTCTAGAAGCAAGTGTAGCTTCTATGACTTCTAGTGCCTTGAGGAATGGGGAATTTTTGGCTTGCTAGATTCTGTTTTCAGCTTGCTTCAATCCTAACCAATACAGCTAAAGCTCAAGGATGTGAGATATTGTCAACATTCAGAAGGCCTCTGGGTCACCACCCTGCTTACTTCCCAGCTTAGATCATGGCACAGCAACAACTGTTGTGGTCTTGGAAGAACTTTGTTTACTTTTGGATTTCCTTAGAAAGATGGAAAAGATTCATGAACAGGTAGCGGAGACAAGGGAGGTGGGAGGAAATCCCAATCTGAATGTAGGAATTATCAACGCTTCATTGAGTGAGGGTTACCTCCCCATGGCCTTGAAAGAGGCGGTGGTGAGGCCTCTCCTCAAGAAGCCTTCCCTGGACCCAGCAGTATTAGCCAACTATCATCCCATCTCCAACCTTCGCTTTGTTGTGAAGGTTGTTGAGAGTGTGGTTGTACGACAGTTTCCACAATACCTGGAGGAAACATCTTATCTAGATCCATTCCAGTCGGGCTTCAGGCCTGGGTACAGCACGGAAACGGCATTGGTCGTATTGGTAGATGATCTCTGGAGGGCTCGGGACAGGGGTTGCTCCTCTGTTCTGGTCCTGTTAGACCTCTCAGCGGCTTTTGATACCATCGATCATGGTATCATGCTGCGCTGGTTGGAAGAGCTGGGGATGGGGGGCACTGTATTACGGTGGTTCTCCTCCTTTCTCTCAGACCGGTTGCAGTTTGTGTTGGCAGGGGGGCAGAGATCGACCTCAAGATGCCTCATATGTGGGGTGCCTCAGGGGTCGGTTCTCTCGCCCCTTTTGTTCAACATCTATGTGAAGCCGCTGGGTGAGATCATCCGTGGCTTCGGGGTGAAGTACCACCAGTACGCTGGCGACACCCAGCTGTACATCTCCACCCCGGGCCACCCCAATGATGCCCTTGAAGTGATGTCCCAGTGCCTGGAGGCCGTGTGGATCTGGATGGGGAGGAACAGGCTCAGGCTTAACCCATCCAAGACTGAGTGGCTGTGGTTCCCGGCATCCCGATATAGTCAGTTGACTCCATCACTGACTATTGGGGGCGAGTCGTTGGCTCCCACGGAGAGGGCTCGCAACTTGGGCGTCTTCCTGGATACACAGCTGTCCTTGGAGGAACATCTGATGGCTGTGGCCAGAGGGACTTTTTATCAGGTTTGCTTGATCCGCCAGTTGCGGCTCTTCCTAGATCGGGATTCCTTGTGCACAGTCACTCATGCCCTCGTCACCTCTCGCCTGGACTACGGCAATGCTCTCTACATCTTCCCCTTGAAGAGCATCCGGAGACTCCAGCTAGTCCAGAATGCAGCCGCGCTGGTAGTGACAGGAGCTGCATGGCGCTCCCACATAACACCTTTCCTGCGTGAGCTGCACTGGCTCCCAGTGATCTTCCGGGTGCACTTCAAGGTGTTGGTTATCACCTTTAAAGCGCTCCATGGCATAGGACCTGGATATCTTCGAGACTGTCTGCTGCCACCAACGACCTCCCACTGACTGGTGCGCTCCCACAGAGAGGGCCTCCTCAGGTTGCCATCGGTCAAGCAATGTAGTCTGGTGGCCCCAAGGGGGAGAGCCTTCTCTGTGGGGGCACCTGCCCTCTGGAATCAACTGCCCCCAGAGATACGAAGAATTCAAGACCTCGGTGCCTTCCGCCGTGCCCTGAAGACCTTTCTTTTTCAGCAAGCCGGGCTGGCTTAACACTTTTTAAAATGTTTTTTTAATATGTTTTATTATTGTTTTTTAACTTTGGGGCCAAACATATATATCTTTTTAAATTGTTTTTCATGTTTGTATCTATGTTTTTACTTTGGCTGTACACCGCTCTGAGTCCTTCGGGAGAAGGGCGGTCTATAAATTTGATAATAAATAAATAAATAAATAAATAAATAAATAAATAAATAAATAAATAAATAAATAAATAACATGAGAGGGAGGAGAGAATTAAAGAAAGGCGTCTTCATTAGCAGCCAAAAGAACAGGACTGTTTTGGAAACACTTGGAAAACAACAATCTTTTCTGAGACTTGCTTTAATTTATCCCTACAAAGAGAATCCTTTCCCTTTCATAGTTTTGCTCATGGCTGAGAAAGGAAGTCAGACCTGCTTCTTCCATCCTTCCATCCTAACAAATCTATCATGAACATTAAGGGCAGAATGGAAAAGGAGATTTGGGGTTTATATACAGTACATGTTAATGTCTACTGTGTTGTGTAAATAAAGCCATCTTGCACTTCTTAGGCTATGGGTAGAGAAATTATACCTCAGTGTATGAAATATGTGAAGAAAATCTATGTAGTTGCTAAGAATCAATGCAGATGTACATAAATACAATGTGTGAATCAGATCACTGAATCAGTTGATAGCAAGCAATAAATAGCCACATACAGAAACAGTTCTTCCTTCCCACTCAAACGATGAGAAACTTGTAATTCTAAAGGGATGATCATGTGCCCTTTTGATCAAGTGTATAACCTCAGTTCAAAGCTAAACTATGTATTCTTCTGCACTTAGAGAAACAGATTAACTTGGTTACTGTAAGTACAGAAATAGTTAATTCTTCCTCAGCCTGTATCTGAACTGAATCACAGATAGATAGAAAAGATCATTTTCACTGTAGAACTAAGCTTGGCAATTGGTTATTAGAAAGCATATCTCTAAATCAATTTCAATTGCACATGTTTTATTTATTTGTTCAGTTTGTGTCTTTTCTATTTATCAAGTGCTCAAACCAGCAAACAACAATCACAATCATTTGAACCTTCATAACTAAAACCATTAATAGTTAAATTTTGGCTAAAAAGCGTATTGCTTTTCCAAGGTGGAGATGCTAAATGCAATTCCCAGCACAGAATATTTCATAGCTCTTACTACTGAAGTCTGCTACTTTTTAATTAAATTATAGAAAATGTGGTTTATGTCACATCATTTTGGGTTTACGTGTCCAATTTATTTTACAGCTGCACATAAAAATATTTTCTTGGGAGACAAGGAGAATGAGAAAAGCATACTGGAAAAATGTGGATATATACATCTAACAAAATGTAGGACACGAACTTACTTGTACGATAATCAGTTTTTTCTTCCAGACACAATTGGAGTCAGGCCACTCTTCCCCAAAGCATAACCACCAAGTGTAATTAGGACAACCATTGCGCCCTTCGATGTACCCAATCAAATCTGAGGAAAGAAAGAGATGGGTGGGTGGGATTTTTTTTCTTGTATTTCGTTAACTCACCACAGGAAAATATAATAAATATCCACCCACCCAATTAGTGGATGCACATTGTGAGAAAGCCATGTGTCTACTACCAAGGATGCCTCAAGTTTAACAAAAAGGGAGCAGTGAAATCCCCAAAATTTAGAATCAATATACAGGTAGTCCTCAATTTACAGCTATTTGTTTTGTGACCATTTGAAGCACTGAAAAAAGTGACTTATGACCATTTTTGATACTTAAGACCATTGGGGCATGCCCATGGTCATGTGATCAAAATTAGGGCAACTGGCATGTACTTATGACAGTTGTATTGTCCCGGGGTCATGTGATCCCATTTGTAATTTTCCCAGCCAGCTTCTAACATGCCAAGTCAATAAGAGAAGTCAGATTCTCTGAATGATTGCACAGTTCATTTAACAATTACAGTGATTCACCTAACAACTGGGGCAAAATAGGTGTAAAATGGAGCCAAACTGCCTTGGTTAACAACAGAAATTTTGGGCTCCATTGTAATCCTAAATCAAAGACAATCTATAGTGGCCATTTTGCAAATTTTAATTTAATGAAAACCTATGGGTTCCCATATAGTTCAATTATCTATGGACCATAGATCTAGAAAAAGCATGGCAAGAACAAGGATGTAGATAGCCTTAGTATGCCCCCTAAGCAATTGTAAAAACCCATAATGGCTCTTCTCAGTGTGTGGATCGTAATTGAAATGTTATGCACAAATATAGCCTGGTTGCATATCTGTGTATAGAAAGAGGGATAAAATGGGAAAACCTCTCACATAACACATTAACTACACTAAAATGTACAACATATAGCTCCATTGAAAAAGAATTTCCACATGTTTAAGCTGGTTTCAGAAAGGATTGTGGCACTAGTGACCACACTGCAAATCTACACTGGATCATGGAAAAATCTCAAGAATATCAAAAGATCATCTACATCTGCTTTATTGACTATAAGAAATCCTTCAGTTGTATTGATTACAGCAAGCTGTGGAGAGTCCTAAAAGGCCTGAGTGTTAATGCATTTGGTCAAGTTGGTGCAGTCACTGTACCCAATTCAGAAAGCCACTATATGGAAATCCTGATTCTTTCAAGTTAGAAAATGGAATGCAGCAAGGTTGCATTCTTTTGGATTTCTTATTCAACCTGTATGCCAAAGTGATAATGAAGAAGCCGAAACTTGAAGAATCAAAAATTTGAGTAAAGATTGGAGGAAAATCAATAATTTTCAATATGTTGATGACACATCTCTCAGAAATCAAAGAAGCCTGAAACATCTAATCAAAAGATGAAAGATGAAAGCAAGACTCTTCCTGAATCAGAATTTCTTTTGTTAAGTAAGATGGTTAATAAATGAATTGCACCCAATTTTATAACCTCTTTTGCTATGGCTGTTAAAACAAATGGCTGCAGTTGTTAAATGGCCATTAAGCTTCCCCCACTGACTTTGCTTGCTGGAAGCCAATTGGGAAGGTCACAAATGGTATTCAGATGACCCCCAGGACACTGCAAATGTTGTAAATTCATGCCAGTTGCCAAGCACCTGAATTCTGATCACATGACTGTGGGGATGCGTTGTTGTAAAGCGAAGACCAGTTATAAGTCTCTTTTTTCATTGCTGTTTAACTTTGAGTGGTCACTACCAGTAAATAAATGATTATACATTGAAGATTATCTGTAGTAATTTTAAATTAAATTCAGGTTTCTGAAAGTTTGGGCTGGATTGCATGTGGAAAGCGTGTAATTTTCAAGAGAGGGAGGGAATAGAGAAGATGCTTGCTTGTATCCTATTACTTCGGCAGAATGTTTTTCTTCTAAGTCAGGGCTGTCAAACTTGATTTCATTGAGGGCTGCATCAGGGTTGTGTTTGACCTTGGGTGGGGGGGCACGGCCAGGGGGGGCATGGCCAGCTTGACATCACTCATGTCAGGGGCACCTGTGGTGGCCCAAATTCTCTGCCAACAAAAATGGGCTCCTGAGCTCCGTTTTTTGCTACAATGGCCTCTTGTAACCCTCTGCCCTCCCAACCTCCGTTTTTGGATATGATGGCCTCCTGCAACCTCTGCCAGTGAAAATGGGGCTTGGGATGGCTGCCCACAGCCCTTACAAGCTCCGTTTTTGGCTGTGCCAGCCTCCTGCAAACATCTGCCAGCAAAAACAGAGCTCAGGAGGGCTGAACACTCTGTTTTTGCCGAGCTTGGGAGGGCCAAGGTCTGTTTTCACTGGCAGAGGCACTGAGGGTAGGTCTGCTGTTTCCAGGGTGGTCCCGATCTAAGAACCCTGTGGTCTGGATTTGGCTTGCAGGCCTTGAGTTTGACATCCCTGTTCTAAGTTGATTCTCCTGTCTGGTTGCAGGAGGCGATCAGAAGTACCATGTTCTAACCTGTCATACCAGTGCAAAGTCAATCTTCGACTGCTGTCTGAGCAATATGGATTATATGCCATCAAGTCTGGGTTTACTCTTAACAACCACACAAATCACTTTAGGACAAGCTACATACAGTATATTATTTGAGATTTAATTAATGGATGCATACCAGGCTCTTTTTTAGTAGCAAAAGCTCAACGAAGCCTTGGATAAATGTTTAGTGGTTACTTTAGCATAAGTAGAATTAACAGACATCTAAAGAAGCGTTCTTAGGAGCTGGGTAAAAACCACCTTAACATACCTGATACGAAAAGCTGCAGATTGAAAATGGGAGTAAACTGCTCTTTCAGTAGGTTTCCATGCTGTGCACCATCTCCTGGAATTTCAGATTGGCTCCAGTAGACATGGCAAACACCTTTGCGCATGCCGCACAATTGGTTTCCTGTGATACGGAGAAGCACACCTGGAGCCACTCCTTTGAGAAGGCGAAGTGTGTAGTCTGCTTGCAGCTTATCATTCAAAATGGTGGGGTCAGGCAAAGATACATCCGCCAAATCAAGATAATTGCCATGGACACCAGGAGGCACAAAGCACAGGCCTTGGTTGTTCACTTTATTGATCACTTCATGTAAGACCTGACGACCCCGATAAAAAGTCCGAACCTCAAAATCTGTCTCTAAAAAGAAGGAAATCCAAATTCTCAGGGTAGAGACAGTACTTCTTAATAGTTCACCCACACACAAAACTTTTACTGCTGTAAATTACCACTAATACAGTACATTTGTGCCAAAGAATATGTGATTCTAAATTACAATTTACAACACTATTCAGTTCTATCTATGCTGGTAGGTTAGTTGAGCCACATCTATAGGGCAGTGGTGAAATCCATTTTTTTTTACTACCGGTTCTGTGGGCGCCACACACAGTTGGTGGGAGTGGTGTGGCTTGGTGGGCGTGGCAGGGGAAGGATACTGCAAAATCTCCATTCTCTCTCACTCCTGGGGGAAGGATACTGCAAAATCTCCATTCCTGAGATGGAGGCAGAGGTGGTATTTACCGGTTCTCTGAACTGCTCAAAATTTCCGCTACTGGTTCTCCAGAACCTGTCAGAACCTGCTGGATTTCACCCCTGCTATAGGACTACCGTTTTACAGTTTTTTAAGAAACCAAGATTCTCTTACCAAATTTTTAACTACTATCCTGCAGGACTAGATTCAGGAAACTTACCAAACGGAGTTGTTATCAGTTGTTCCAATTGTGAGTTCATGGCAATGGGTGAATACAATCCTAAATTGGATGAAGGTGAGCTTCCACAGCCAATTCTATTTTCTGCTGCCATTCCTGAATATGGAATTTACAGAACAAATATAAGGTCTTGTCTCAATTTAATTTCTGTATCAGTTTGTCCACTTTAGGCATTTCATGAAGTGATCTGCATCTCATGACAGGATACACTTCTTTATTTTAAAAAATCTGGGTGGAAAAATGCTAGAATCCTTTTGATTTAATGGGTCTAGGACTTAAATCTTGAGAGAGAGAGCAGATTTTGATCTAATGGAACTGAAGCTTGAAAGTTTATCTCTGACTATCACAATCCTCAAACATTCTTCACCAGAATGGCATTCCAATCCTCAAAGCAGTTCTTGTCCTTCTTCAAAATGTCATTCATGTTTCTCAGTAATTTAGAAAACAAGAACAATTTATATTATGTGAAAGTGGAGACTGCATCCAATCATTATTCCTCCTAAAATTCTTTGTATTTCATATTATTATTATATAATTATTATTATTATTTTCTTTCTACAATATCTAGATTGGTACATGCTTAGATGAACCAAGGCCTTGGTTCACACAGTATTAAAGCATAAAATGTAGTTTTCAAAGCTCAAGATAGTGTTTGTCTGTGAAACTGTGTGGTTCATTTGGCTTTATGTTACTGTTCTGTGTGAATGGAACTTCTCTGGCCACAAGACAACCAAGAATTTTCCCTAGATTCAGGAAGCTTACCAAATTCACTGGTTCTCTCGGTTTGTTCCAATAGAGTCATCGGTGTTGTAGAATCAGCCGGATTCAATTGATACCACATTGGATAGTCTTCTAGGGCTAAAAATGAAGTATTGTAAAAGCAGAGAGACATAACAAAAATTTCATACGAAAACAAGGAATAATTTGAATATTTGTTATTCTACTAACGTTTAATTGATACAATATACAGTTGCAAGAAAAAGTATGTGAACCCCTTGGATTACGTGGAGTTTTGCATGAATTGGTCATAAAATGTGCTCTGAACTTCATCTAAGTCACAACAATAGAAAAACACAGTCTGCTTAAAATAATACTACACAAACATTAGATGTTGCCATGGTTTAATTGAACATAACATGTAAACATTCATAGTGCAGGGAGGAAAAAGTATGTGAGCCCCTAGCCTAATGACTTCTCCAAGAGCTAATTGGAGCCAGGAGTGAGCCAACCTTGACTCCAATCAGTGTGATGATATTGGATGTGTTGCTGACAGCTGTCTTGCCGTTTAAAAACACACACCTGTTTTGGGTTTACTGGTTTCAAGAAGCACTGTCTGATGTGAACCATGCCTCGCAGAAAAGAGCTCTCAGAAGACTTACGATCAAGAATTGTTGACTTGCATGAAGCTGGAAAGGGTTACAAAAGTATCTCCAAAAGCCTTGATGTTCATGTGTCCACCGTAAGACAGACTGTCTACAAATGGAGAAAGTTTAGCACTGTTGCTACTCTCCCTAGGCGTGGTCGTCCTGTAAAAATGACTGCAAGAGCTCAGCGCAGAATGCTTCATGAGGTAAAGAAGAATCCTAGAGTGTCAGCTAAAGACCTACAGAAATCTCTGGCACATGCTAACATTTTTGTTGACATATCTACAATAAGGAAAACATTAAACAAGAATGGAGTATATGGGAGGACACCACGGAGGAAGCCATTGCTGTCCAAAAAAAATATTGCAGCACGTTTGAAGTTTGCAAAAGAGCACCTGGATGTTCCACAGCACTACTGGCAAAATATACTGTGGACAGATGAAACCAAAATTGAGTTGTTTGGGAAGAACACACAAAACTATGTGTGGAGAAAAAAAGGCACAGCACACCAACATCAAAACCTCATCCCCACTGTAAAACAAGGCGGAAGGAGCATCATGGTTTGGGGCTGCTTTGCTGCCTCAGGGCCTGGACGGATTGTTGTCATTGATGGGAAAATGAATTCCAGAGTTTATCAAGACATTTTGCAGGAAAACGTACGACCATCTGTCTGCCAACTGAAGCTCCGCAGAAGATGGGTGATGCAACAGGACAATGACCCAAAGCATACAAGTAATTCAACAAAAAAATGGCTTCAACAGCACAGAATACGCTTTCTGGAGTGGCCCAGTCGGAGTCCTGACCTCAATCCGATTGAAATGCTGTGGCATGACCTTAAGAGAGCGATTCACACCAGACATCCCAAGAATATTGCTACACTGAAACAGTTTTGTGAAGAGAAGTGGTCCAAAATTACTCCAGATCATTGTGCAGGTCTGATCTGCAACTACAGGAAACGTTTGGTTGAGGTTATTGCTGCCAAAGGAGGGTCAACCAGTTATTAAGTCCAAAGGTTCACATACTTTTTCCTCCCTGCACTGTGAATGTTTACATGTTATGTTCAATTAAACCATGGCAACATCTAATGTTTGTGTAGTATTATTTTAAGCAGACTGTGTTTTTCTATTGTTGTGACTTAGATGAAGTTCAGAGCACATTTTATGATCAATTCATGCAAAACTCCACGTAATCCCAAGGGGTTCACATACTTTTTCTTGCAACTGTATAAAGGTTATTCTACATCACTTTGGCACTTTAAAAACTATAATTAAAATCAAGTCAGAAATTAAGAAAAATGGACAATATAAGGATCATTTGTCAAAATGATTTCTAGCTATAGGTAGTCCTTGATTTATGACCACAATTGAGCCCAAAATGTCTGTTGCTAAGGGAGATGGTTGCTAAGTGAGTTTTGTCCCATTTTACAATCCTTCTTGTCACATTTTTAAATTAGTAATAAGGTATAAAGTGAATCCGATTTCCCCATTCACTTTTTGTCAGGTCGCAAAAGGTAATCACATGACCCTGGGACGCTGCAATTGTCATAAATATGAGCCAGTTGTCAAGCGTCTGAATTTTAATCAGGTGACCCTGGAGATACTGCAGCAGTCATTAGCATGAAATATGGTCATAAGTCATTTTTTTGTAACTTTCAGTGGTCACTAAACGAATGACTGTAAGTCGAGAGCTAATCTGAAGCAGTCTGAAGTTTACTTCATATTGTAGAGCAGTGATGGCGAATCTTTTTGGCACTGAGTGCCCAAACCGGAATGTGCATGCGCACCAGAAACCCAAAGACCAGCTGGCTGGCGCGTACATGTTCTGTGGGCACACACATTGTTGCCAGCTGCCCTTTGGGTCAGCTGGTCTTCTCGTGTGCTGAAGCACCAGAAACCCGAAGACCAGCTGGCGATGGTGCGCATGCCCACAAAGAGGGCTCTGTGTGCCACCTTTGACACACGTGCCATAGGTTCACCATCATGGATGTAGAGCTTTAAAAAAAAATTTTTTTTTATTTGGCAGTATTTATATGCCGCCCTTCTCCCGAAGGACTCAGGGCGGCGAACAGATTAAAAACATACAATGATAAAATAATAAAATCCCGTTAAAAACAAATTAAAATCAATAAATAATAAAACCCAAGAATCAGCATCAGCCCATTCGTTGGAATAGCCAAGTCTTCAGGCCTTGACGGAAGGAGCGGAGATCCGGGGCCGTCCGGAGCTCGGTGGGTAGTTCGTTCCAAAGGGTAGGGGCGCCCACAGAGAACGCCTACCCCTGGGCGTCGCCAGACGGCATTGCCTGGTCGACAGTACCCTGAGGAGAGCAGCTCTATGAGACCGGACAGGACGGTGGGAAGCAGGCAGGAGATGGTCCTGCAAGTACCCTGGGCCTAAGCCATGTAGGGCTTTATAGGTCAATACCAGCACCTTGAAGTGAATCCGGTGGACCACCGGTAACCAGTGCAGCTCGCGCAGGAGAGGTGTTACACAAGAGTAACAAGGATGTTATGTTAAGAGAATCCCAAATACTGGATAGATTATAGCAGAAGTCTATGTGCAAAATTATAATTCATAAATGGTTCTCACCTTAATCTCAAACTTTAAATATGAAGTTATTTTGACATAAATGCATACACCAATAACCCTTGTTTTGTCTGGCTACCAAAGAAGGAACTGAATCACTTCCACTACTTTCCAATTGAAAGTATAAAATATACTAGTGGGTGTTATCACATATGAAGTCAATTCAGTATTTTTCTTAGGAACGTAAAGCTTAGATATGCTGGTTAGAAAGAAAAGTCAATATTTAAAATTTGTTTCATTGTTTGGTGAACAATCTGCCAAAATTGCTGGGCTTTATGACACTACTTTCAAATATGAAAGAATTCTCCAACTGATTATTAAATTTTCATCTTTTTTTTTTTTTACCTTAACGTTATTCATTTTAGCGATCAATTTAGGAATAAAATACTGATAAAATACTTCATACTAAATTTCTAAATAAATTTGTCTTCTATTGATGTTCCCATTTTTGTCTTTTAATTTAGATTCTGAATGCTTTTAAACATAGTACATTTAATTTATTCTATTTCTGAATCACATTTCAGTGACTATTTTATATTTACGCTCCAGCAGATGTTCTTTATTTTACATTATAAACATTTCAAAATGTTATCTCCACTTATTATGTTCATCATCATGAAAAATTAATATTTAATATGATCCTTTTGATTTCTGTCACTCACCATTATCGAAATTGGAACGATCCATGGAACTCAGCATATTCTTCTGTGTTTCATCCTGAAGAACAGGATGAAAGATCAGAAAAAAGCATCTAGTCTTGGCATGTCCAACCTATTGGCTTGCTTGAGCCACACTGAGTGATGAGGAATTGTCATGGGCCATGTATAAAATATATAATAACATTAATACATATAAACGCACATCATAATGTGAAAAGTTTATAATCTCACAAGGTTGCATTACTAGCTCTCTAGGACCACATGCAGCCCATGAGAGTTGGACGCACCTTGCCCTCTCCTCTCCATCCAGAGTGAGATCCAGAGTGGAAAAAAATATATCTTTTTTTCATTTTCATTTGGCCATTCAAGCATGTAAGCTACGTTGGGAACAGTTTTCCAGGACAGAAATGTAGCACGTGCCAATAAACACTGCCACTTAGTGTTAAGCACAAGAAACACAAAGAAAGGCTTTTGAAAATCTGTTGGAAACAAGGGAGAAAATGGGACTGAATTTAATCTTTAAAGATATAAGAAGATACTACAACTTCATTCTTCAGGGGACAACAAGCTATACTGAGTATTTGGAAAGCTCCAGCAAAGGAAGGGAACCTATCAGGTGAGACAGAAAAGGACTCACCTGACTAAACAATGAACTTATTCCCTTTGACTTCCTACTTTCAGCTGGAATCAATGGTGCATGAATAACCTCCACAGCTGGATTATTTAGGTCTGTATAAGAAAATAACAAGCAAATATTCTTTCACTCCAATCCACAATTCCCCCCTTATTAAATTACATTGTCCTCAGTTGATGCTTAGCTTTCATGTTATTTCCTTACTGGCAATATTAAAGTTGATTTCATAGACTTTGTGAGGATCTTCAGGGTCAGTGCTATTATCCTCCACCATCTCAATACCATCTTTTCGGTTCAGAGCAGAGCGGAAGTTCCTCTTCCATTCTGAAGGAGTCCGAGGATCCGTTTCTGGATTGTAAAGGTGTCTAGCAATGGCCCAATCCTAGACAGAAAGGCAACAATGTAGTTTGCAATCACCATGCCTGGTTTCTCTTCCTCCATGCTCCCCATCAAGCTAGTATATGACAGAGTTCATCCAATAGACCAAAATCTGACTTGCTTCTGTCTCAACTTAGTGCATTTTGTGAAGCCAGCCACTACAATTTATAAGACATGGTTAATGGCTTAGCATACTGGGAAAACCAAGTCATATGACCAAGGAAAGTTTATGCAGCAGCAATTTTCTTAATTTTTAACAAACCATAATAATATTTGTAGTTTTTGATGCAAAAATATTTTTCTACTTTCAGGGATTGTCCAGGGATTGTTTAGACAGTGGCTAAAACATATGGCTCAGTAATCAAATGCCTAGACAGATGTCTAGAGGTGTAGAGAATATGGAAAAAGGCCTTAATGGAGATAAGATAAAGTCCACAACAGGCAGATAATATTAGGAAGTAGCTCATACAAATACCTCCCTAATTCACTGAATCATAAGTAGTAGAAGGAAGTACAACATAATTAGACTTGTAAAATTCTATTATAGCTAGTTTCAATAAAAGTACCAGTAGTTTTAATCTACCTGCAAAATTGATTCCTTGTTCAGGTCTAAGTGGGGCTGATCAAGGGACAAAGGTGACTAGTACAAGCCACTGTGGTATCAATAAGCCATGACACCAATGGGCAGAAGGTGCTGATTATATCATTCACGATGACACACATTGTCACTTATCTCCCCTTTGGGATCTCAAAATTTGCAAGATGGCAAACATGGCATAGTGATAGAAGTTCTGCTCCTATTGTGCTTGCATTGCATGCCCACAAAGTTGTGAGGTCTTGAGCTGCCAGAATTCCCCAGGCAGCATGTTCCTGTGACTGAGAGAAACTGCTCTAACAAATGAACACTTGTCAAGACAAAAGTGTAATGAAATTTAAATCCAATTGATTTTATTTCTCACCACTCATAGCTCAAATTATTTCTCCTTTCTATCACAATAAAAGCCTCAGCCTCAGATGTGCATCTCTGCCATAATGCAACATTTTCTCAATGCCCTCTGAGCATGATATCATAGATACAAAACTACTTCTGCTCTTACCCATTTGGGCTAGGAAATTATGGGAGTCCGACATATCTCAAGGGCCCCATATTGAGAAAGCATCCTTTAGGGATACAGCAACAATTACCAAGGATCCTCAAAGATGTATCATTTTCATCTGCTGGTTAAAGGTCCCTGGGCTAGGACCAGGGAAACCTGAGTACTCCTCCTCCCTTAAGCATGAAAGCTAGCTGGGTGAGTTTGGGCCAGTTATTTTCTCTCAGACCTGGGTTTCCTGATCTAGTCTACCTTACAAAACTGACATATCTGTCCATATAATCACTAGTACTTAAGACCGACTAAAAACCCACCACCACAATACAGAATAATGCAGAGAGCCATCAGAAAAAAAAAAGAACTTGCCCTCACCAATTGAAGAATGACAGTTTGGTTAAGGCACCAGTCTAGAAAGCAAGAGATCACGAGTTCAAGTTCTACCTTAGCAATGAAAGCCAGCTGGGTGACCTTGGGCCGGTCACTCTCTCTGAGCCCAACTCACTTTATGAGCCAAACAAGTTGCCAAAAAAGCCAATGCAGTCCTGGATTGAATCAACAGAAGATCAAGAGAAGTGGCAATACTGTTTTATCCAGCAATAGTGAGACCACAGATGGAATACTACATTTGTTATGATCACTGATACAAAAGACATGTTGATACCCTGGAAAGTGTGCAAAGAAGAGTAACAAGGATGATAAAGACTCATGAGGCTAAATCAAATGATGAACAATTGAGGGAGCTAGGTATGTCTAACCTAGGTATGTCTAACTCTAACCTATGGAAGAAAAGGATTAGGGGGGAGATGATAATTCTCTTCCAGTACTTGAAGGGCTTTCACAGAGGAGAGAAGAAGGGGTTGATTTATTCTCCAAAGCACCAGAGGGCAGGACAAGAAGTGATGGGTAGGAAGATTGTTAAAGAGAGATCCAACCTTGATGAAAGAAGAAATTTTCTGACAATGAGAACAGTTAATCATCTCTTCCACATGGTATGTGACACATATGCAACAGGGGAAGAAATCGCCACAAGTTTACCTCAAAGATCTGAAAATCCTTTGGGTTAATGCTCTGCCGTGATGCATGCTTCCATGGTACTCGGAAAAGTGTTTTTTCTGAGTTGAGCCAGGACACACCTGGATATCGCTGGTTGTCCAATTGCTCTATCAGCCAGGGCACAATGAGAGGCTTCTGAGTACCCATTGGAGATATACAGATGTGCTGTCAGTTCAAATCTGTGGGGAAAGAACAGAATCATAAACACAATTCACTGGGGAAATGTGGAAAAATGCTCTTCATGCATGGAGAAAACTTTTGGGCATGCAACATCCTGAACTGCTAATCATGGGATTCTTGGTGGTCTCTGAGCTTGGTGGTTTTCATGCAGAAAGTTCATGAACCAACTATATAACATCATCAGGGATGTGTATAGATGTGCACTGATGATGTTACTGTTGGAAGAAATTTCCCTTTATTACCCATTAGCTCCAGGCAGAGTCCATATTTTCAGGATCTGCTTTGTTATTTCTAGTAATAGCTTTTGGCAGACTTGCAATCATTTCCTGAGTGCTTGCCTCCAGGTTTTTTACTCTGCTAAGGGAAAGGCGATGTGGTGGCTCAGTGGCTAAGATGCTGAGCTTGTCAATCGAAAGGTCGGCGATTCAGTGGTTCGAATCCCTAGTGCCGTGTAATGGGGTGAGCTCCCGTTACTTGTCCCACCTTCTGCCAACCTAGCAGTTCGAAATTAGAAAAATAGGGACCACCTTTGGTGGGAAGGTAACAGCGTTCTGTGCACCTTTGGCATTTAGTCATGCCGGCCACATGACCACGGAGATGTCTTTGGACAACACTGGCTCTTTGGCTCTGAAACGGAGATGAGCACCACCCCCTAGAGTTGGGAATGACTAGCACATATGTGCGAGGGAAACCTTTGCCTTTACCTTTAAGGGAAAGGGCTGTTTTTATTTCCTGCACTGCTTCAGGGGTTCCTGGCACTGTCTTCTTTGGGGTGCACTTCCCACATTACCTATTAGGGTAATGAAATGGCTGCAAAAATATCACCAAACTCAGAGAGCATCAAGAACCCCACAGTTCAACTCTGAGTTACAATTATTCTCTTCTATTGTTTGCAATCCCTTACGACTACTTCCCCAATCTGCAGCTGTCCAGATGACTGAACCTTCCAGAATTTCACTCTCAGCAGGGGAGCTGTAGTCCAAACACATAGACAATTGCTTGTGGAAAGTTCTAAGCAGCAGCGAATTTAGGCTGCTCCCCAACTCCTAAACAAGACACTGATTCTCTTGCAATAACCTTTTCTCATTCACAACATTTTCTGGACATCCGAACAACCTACTTTCTCATCCATTATCTTGAAATAAAAAAAAGATGGAATAGTTGGGCAAACCTTTTGGCAACCTTTGACCGCTTCCCGTCTGGAAGCGTGCAGGGGGAGGATTTACTTCGAAGTAAACGTCAGATTATTCTGTAAATTTTGGAAAGACAACAACTAAGAACTGTTATTTGATTTCGGATCTGGAAGGTGGAGAGTACTTGCGAGAGACTTCAGCACCTTTATCATGGGGGTAAGGACAGCTTGAACGCATTCCCGAACTCCGAAGGCCCCCTCCCCAATCAGACTACTTACCTCTTTCTCTATGGGATCTCTGCTTTGATCCACCGATTTAAAAAACCAGGTTACAAGCTCCCCTCTCCCGGTGTCACACAATTAGTTTCGATTTCCTCGCAGAAATCTTCAAATGGACACGCCTCCTTCTATTTTTCTCTCCATACCTCCAAAGAGCTCTGCGCTGCTTTTAGACAGTAAATTAGTTACTTTAAGAATTAAGAGCTGTCTCCTTAAGAGATTGCATTGTGGGAGATGTAGACAGAGATTGCATTATGGGAAATGTAGTCCATGACATTGGATCACATCTGTGTGTATGATTGGCCACTGAGGCTCTGGAACAAACCCGGGCTATTACGAATTGCCACAGAGGAGAGAACATGCTTTCTGAATAAGGGGACAGATCTACCATTCTTTTACACTAGGAAATGGGACAGATTATGAATATTCTGATGAATGTCATCTTGATTGTACGTCTTTGATTTGAGAACGCCCGATAATAAACTTGATCTGTATGAAAACCTGTTTGCTAGAGTTAATTGGCTGCTCCTGGCAAATCACAAAGCCCCGAGGCAGAACAAGCCTACTCATCTGGGAGGCAGTTTTAATTTTCTTACCCCTTTTTCTTTTAGGAAAGCAATATTTCGGTAGCGAGAAATCCGTGATGGCAAGCATCTAAGAAATCATGCCAATTGCAGTTGACGGAGACCTGGACGTCATTTCCCAGTGCCAGTTTGGGGAAAGCTTTGAGAAATTGCTGAGGAATTTTAGAGGAGGGGATGGGCTTCTAGAATAACCCCCGTTGTGAAAAAGGATGCATAACGCTGCTCATTTTCTTCCCCAAGGAATCCATCAACGAATCTTTGCAACCCTGCAACGGATGGTACTACTGTGCTAAAAAGAGAGTCCTGGAGGACCCTGGACCACTTTCCTGCCTTCTCTGATATATTATAAAGAAGCCAAAGGCATGTTCTCTCTTTATGCCTTCTGGCTGTGTTGCTGGAAGGATGTATATTTGACCAAGCAGGCTGAGGCATTGCAAGACAGAAGCCCAGCGCATCTAGTAGGCATCAGAGTGGGCAGCTAAAAGCAGTGCATGAGCAAGGAATAATACTGTGGGTTCCTATTCTCATTTTAATGGTCTCAAAGGAACAGCTATTGGCAACCTCTATTGGGGTGCTTTTATTTTCATGAAAGATCCTCCCAGCTCCAGAATTCTGCAGGTGTCATTGTAATAGAGCTGGGAATGACTTGAATGAAGCCCCCGCTTTCTAGTAGCAGTTCCTTGTCCAAGGAAACAACAATTTTGTCAGTTGCTTCCACCCTATCTCTTCCCCCCATTACACAGTGGCTGTATTCTTATAGTTACTCCTCAATTAATGGCTACAATTGGGACTAGAATTTCCATTGCTAAGCAAGACAGATATTAAGTAAATCATGCCTGATTGTATGACATTTTTTTTGGTCACCGTTATTAAGCAAATCTGGCATTCCTTATTGATGTTGCTTTGCCAGAAGCTCACTGAGAAACTCACAAATGATTATATGACCCAGAACACTGCAGCCATTGTAAGTACATGCAGATTGCCGAGTGCCTGAATTTTGATCACCTGACCATGGAGATGCTGTGATAGTCTTAAGGGAAAGGACTGGTATTAAGTCACTTTTTGTTAGAACTGTTGTCATTTCGGTTATAAATGAATTGTAAATCAAGGAATACCTAGGCTAAACAGTATGAATCCAGACACTGGATTTTGTAAACCCTCATTTATGGTTTACCATTTTTGTGAACCTTGCCAATTGTAAATGTTTATGGAGATTCTCAGTCCAGTTGCCTTTTGAACAGCATCTTTGGGACTTGCCAATTGTATTTTATTCAGAAAAAAAAAGTTAAGCAAAATAGTGTGCTGTGTGAATATAGACACTAGCTTCATGCACTAGATTAAATTGTAATATATTTAACATGCTTGAGGTTTAATGTACTGTTAACTCAATTATGTTTATGTCTTTGTATTAAGTTTGAAACCAGCCAGTTGTGGTTTATTCTGTACAGATAGTCCTAAACTTACAACAGTTCTTTTAGTGACCATTCAAAGTTACAACAGCGCTGAAAAAAGTGAAATGACAAATTTTTACACTTATGACCGATGGTCATATGATCAAAATTCAGGTGTGTGGCAATTGATTCATATTTATGATGGTTGCAGTATCCTGGGGTCACATGATCCCTTTTGTGACGTTTTGACAAGCAAAGTCAATGGGGAATATTCACTTAACAATTTGACTAATTTAACAATTGCAGTGATTCATTTAACAACTGTGGCAAGAAAAGGTCATAAAATGGGGCAAACTCACCTAAATTAACAAATTTAGTAACATAAATTTTGTGCTCAATTGTCATAAGTCAAGGATTACCTATATTAGTAAAATCAGTGCACTTGTGAACTCACAATTGAGACAGAGTGACTCAGCACCAAAAATATTGACATCTTTTATTCACTGGTTCTTGATGGACTATATTAATCATTCTTGCTCAGTGTCATAGAGTATCCAGTTTACTACAAATTTGTGCTTTTTAGATGTGCTCTACTACCAGACCATTCATCCTTACCAGATTTTCTATTTAAAAATCTGGAATTGAAGCAATATAGAAAAATATTAATCTCAAGAGTAGTATATACACTTCTACAGATACTCTAAGGACTATGATGTATACACATGTCAGAAGTCACCAGTGAGTAGAAACTATCAACTCATCACAAAATGAGTTTAGACATCTCTCAATATTTACTCAACCTTTGTGATTGCGTAAGCCCACTGTATGCTTTGATGATGCTCAGGCTCCTCCTTTTTCTGCACATATATTATATGCTTTTTTAAAAAAATGTGATCCCTGTTTCAACTTGGGAAATGCTGATTTAGTGATTTAGTGATATAGCCATCTAAAAGGTATCAACTTGGGAGAAAATTGAGGTGATATACTGTAGAGCAGATATGCTCCAACCCAGTGGTGGGATTCAAATTTTTTTACTACCGGTTCTGTGGGTGTGGCTTGGTGGGTGTGGCAGAGGATACTATAAAATCTCCATTCCCTCCCCACTCCAGGGGAAGGATACTGCAAAATCCCCATTTCCTCTCGATCAGCTGGGACTCGGGAGGCAGAGTATAGATGGAGGCAGGGCGTCAGAGGTGGTATTTACCGGTTCTCCGAACTACTCAAAATTTCCACTACCGTTTCTCCATAACTGGTCAGAACCTGATGAAATCCACTTCTGCTCCAACTCTCAGGCTACGGCCCATTCGGAATTGGGTCATGAAAGTAGTGGGCAAATGCACATGTCTGCGTGAAACTGCATTTGTGAAAACAGTGCATGCATGTACGTGAAACCATCCCTTCTCCCCTGCCACAGCTGCCACCTCCACGGTCCACTGAGCCAGAAAAGTTGAGGACTGCTACTGTAGAAAAATATAACCGATGAACAAATAAATACACCAGCAGTCATATCCGCAATTCATGCTGAGAGTAAATTGTCTTTTCCCAACAGATAAGTCATTATTTAACCATTTACTGCTTGTATTTATATATCATGCTTAACTTTGTTACAGATAGTCCTCAATTTGCAACTAAATTGGCACCAGAATTTCTATTAAGCAAGACGATTGTTATGTGAGTCATGCCTGATTTTATTACTTTTTTACCATGGTTGTTAAGTGAATCACAAGGTCATTAAGCAAACCCATGTTTCCCCATTGACTTTGCTTGTCTGAAGACAGCGTGGAAGCTTGCAAAAGGCAATCACATAACTCCGGGATACTGCAACTGTCCTAAACACATGCTGGTTGCCAAGAGCCTGAATATTGATTACATGATTGTGGATGTGATGCAGTGTTCCTAAGTACAAGGGGTTTGAGGACCAGTTGTAAGTCACTTTTTTCGGTGACTTGTAACTTCAAACAATCACTAAGGTTGTAAGTCAAGGTTTATCTTATTGTAATGCTCTGAGTTTATACAATATACCGAGCCAGTTTTAAAAAATGGACTAATTTCATACATCAATTTAAGTTTCAAAAAACTCCAATGCTTTGAGAGAAATTGCTATGAGAAAGTTTATATATCATGCTTTTTATCTGCTGTATTATAATGGACATTTTTAATGTTTTAATGTTGTAAGTCATCCAGAGGCATTGGATATGAGATGGGCAGCAAATAAATTTAATAAACAAACAAACAAACAAACCAATGTCCTTAGTTCTAAGAATCAACACCAATTTGATGGAACTGCATTTTCTCTGAAATTCCTTATAATTTCTTCACTTTTAGTCCATTTTAAAATGTTGTCATTTTATATGTCAGACACTGCATCAATTTTTGTACAAACTACAGTACATTGGGGAATCTTCAAATGTAGGTATAGCACCTTGAAACTGAAAGTTCAAGACAAACTGGTTTTAACTATCTCCAAGTCCCTCTTCAGGGTAAATTTGTTCACTGTATTGCATGCATTTGCATATGTGCATTGTACATTGCCTTATTATTGCTTGTATTAAAATCATTCTACAGGATCAAGTCAAACCTGTTTCTGTTTTTCTACTTACTGCGTTTCAGGGAAGACAGAGGTTGATTAGGAAAAGTTTCCTTTTTAAACAAAGATAAAACAATCAAATGTTGGAAATAAATCTTATCATATGCAGGCTGCAAATATCTACATTGCTAGTAGTGAAGATATAAAGACATATTGTGTGCCCTTGGCATCCTGCGGTTGTCCAGATTTTTGCAACCTAGGGTAGGTCTGCTTGAAGAAAAGAACTTTGCCTTTGCAAGGTTAAGTAATCTTGATAATGTAGAATTGTTTTATTATCTTGGTTATGAATGATAACATTCCTAAGAAGTTAAAAAACAATTTGATTTGAAATTAAACTTCATTAGATACATTGAATGCCCAGAGTTTGGCCTGCTTTTCATTTTGGATTATGTGTGCTTATATCCCAGGGTTTAGAAAGAACAAACTGAAGAAAACTACAGATTGGGCTTTTCCTATTATTGGAAAAGTCAACTGAAACTGCTACTAAGGTAGTAATAGTACAGTGTTTTCTAAACTATTATCATACATCATTAAAGGAAGTATGTTTCATCCTCGTTCCGTGTTGCAAGATGGATGAGCAGGGTTATTTCACTTGGTTTTATGTATGCTTCGATCCTCAACTGTTCAGTATTGGAGATAGCCAGACATAAAACATAGATATCACCTCTATTCTAACTTTTATTTATAACAGAAGGATTAGCCATGCTTTTATTAGAATTATGAATTATTAATAATATCTATGAAATCTATTTTCTAGAAGCTTGATTTTAGAACTCCAGCTAGCTGCCAATGTTCCTCATCTATTTATATCAGTTTCTCACTAAATAGCACCACCTATTGCCTGGTTAGACCAGCTGGCTAGGTTCAAAAAGTCTAAGGAATAGTCACTGGCTGGATTACTGTGATTACTAAGAGGAAGTCCATCTATTGTGTGCTTTGTTTTTAAAAATATTTCTAAAGAAGGGAAGAATTCTTTCAACAGCCAGAGCAGCTAAAAGCTTTGTCAGACATCAAGCAAAACAGATTAAGGACTGAATACCATGCAAAATATCAGAAACAATTCTCATCCAATGTATCAGCCCTTTAGTCCAGACAAGAAGCACAAACCTTTTGCATGACTGTTATGTAGGTTATGGCTCTTCCTCCTGTCTCCCAAGGTCATTTCCACATACCATTAACATGCAGTGGAATTTTTTAAATAAAAATAGATGGCTGTACTGTTTCACTCTGTAAAAGATGTTTGCCCCATAACTGAACTACTATTTCCTCTTGCCCTGTTTGTTTCAGAGCTGCTTGTAGAGACCAAGAAAATGGTAGCTGTAACTTGTCCTGTAGCTGATGTTCTTAGATTTGCTTTAAAAGTTGGATGCCTGTTGTCAGGGAAGTAGCAACCAAAAGTATAAAGAGTGGGGATTAACTGGTTTTCTCGCTTCTTTTAATTGAAACAACAGATCCCACTCCATTAGGAAGCAATAGTGGATAGGACTGTGAATAAATATCAGGCTGACTCTGGCTTTGACAGCATTCTAAGAGTAATTAATAAATGGAACCAGAGGGAACTTGCTTGAGGCGAATTAGAATGTGTGAGAAAGAGACAGAGAGAGATTATGTTAATCCAATTTGCACTATAATTTTCTTGTGTTTCAGAAGAAACACCTGGTAGGAAACCACTGCCACTTTTGAGCAATTATGGTTAAAGGGGGCTCTGGGGAATCAAAAGATTAATGCCATTGCTTTGTCTAATTCTGGTTTCCCTCAGTCAAAACAGTGAAAATATGAGAACAATACTTGTAAATTGGATAGTTTATAATTCTACTCAGAATATCTTCTCTATTATGGGAATGGAAGAGTATTATTATATTGCAAAGCAATTTAAAAGTGATCATTCACATTGACCCTGACTTGATCAAAATTTACACTATTCATAAAATAATTCTTTAGTGTGCAAATTGAGTATGACAGGAAATATATGAAAATATAAGAACAATGTAAAGAGAATTAGATTGAACAAAATCATTCAAAAATGTACATTGTATTATTCTAGGCATTCAACAAGCAAACTCATCTTTGATCCTATAAATCCTATATAGAGTATAAAATCTGTTTTTTTTTCTAGTCTAAAGACACTTGGCTTTATATTTTATCAAGAAAGAATATTCTGGTTTTTGTCTTAAATCATAAATGAGAAAATATATTGAAAAGACAATACTGTATAACATCATTCAATAAGTCTGTTTCATCCACTCCAATAGGAAACTTTTTCTTAGCGTTAATTTCCCAGAAGCCCTTAGTATAAAGAGAACAAGTTAGTATTTATGTAAATATATAAAAGAATACTATAAAAAAAGAGAGGGCTTAGGGGGCTGCATTAAGTTCATGGGTATTGGGTTAGGTTTAGAACAAAAAAACTGTTATCCAAAGTATCTAGAAACGTTATTAGTATATAGCAGCAGAGGGTGCTGATGTCCATCATTTGTTGATGGCCTTGTTTTATTAATGGAGAAGTTAGGTTATGTTGCTTTTAAAGCAAATTGCATTTAGTCCACAATGTCTGATTGGGGAATCTTCATGATTATCTTTTTCCTTTCATGTGACCAAGCTTCTTGTGATTTTGTATCAAGAAATACTGATGTGAAGATATGCATTGTAAAATTAGGGGTCTTTTACTATTTCAGAATCATTGATATATCAGGGCAGATGTGATTTGTCAATCACACAATATTCATTTTTGTTTCCCAAATTGTTATAGCATATAAAATGATTCCATTCAGACTCAATCCTCTTACAAGAGAATAATGAAAAGCTGGTAAAGCCAAACCAAGCCAAGTTATAGAAAACATTTGGGGGAAGAGGGTGGGCAGGCTGCAGTGAAGTTCCCATACTGAAAGAAAAAAGAAATTAGAAGAAAGCTGTCTAGTTTTACAAGCCAAGGTATATTTGGAGACCCACCACTGATGTATACTTGACTAGAAAAAAAGTTTGAGAAACACAGAACAATATATTGAATACTTTGCATAAATTAAAATCTATATTCAGGCCTTGTCAATTCCATATGCTTTTCTTAGCTCCTCCCATAACTTCAACAATTTGTCATGGTGATAGGAGAAAATGGGCATCATAAAGTGGTAAGATTCAGCCAGTTTGCACCACTTCGGGAGAACTGGTTGTTAACTTTCTGAGAGTTTGGCAAACTGGTTGTTGGAAGAAATCATTAGGCCAGAGAACCGGTTGTAAAATTACTTGAATCCCACCACTGGCATTATAGTATAGTGTACCTATCTGGAAAGGATCTTGCTTAAAATGAATTTAGTATTAGACTCTGGTAATCAGAATAGACAAAATTGGTAATTTTAGTGCAGTGACAGCTAATCTTTTCTGGACCACATACCTAAAGCACATGCGCGTGAATGAGCTTGCATGCGCCCAAACCCCCAAAATGCAATGCATGCATGCGCCCTGAGCATGTGTCCTGCCCGCGGGCATGCACGCATTCCCCCCCGCACAAGCATGCACAGGCCCCCCACACAGGCCATGCCCCCTGCTCATGTCTGGCAGAGACCCAAAGACCAGCTTGCCGGCAAGAGACGCATATGTATGCGTGGCAGAACTGAACTGGGGCGACAGCTCATATGCCCACAGAAAGGGCGCCTCTGCCATAGGTTCACCATCAGTTTTAGTGGAATAGCTTGCTTTGGCATTGAAAAGATCTAACATTAGACTTTGATTTGGAGAAGTTTTTTTCTTCAGAAAGCTCCATAACTGGCATCCAATAAATGCTGTCACTGCTATGCCTTAAAAAAAGGTAAATTTCAACTGTTGAAGCAAGCTGTTCAGTTCCTACCTTTCTACCTGTTGAATATCTGCTTGCCACAAGATTTTCAAAAACATGGGGAAGTTCTGACATGTAGGAGGAAAAGTGGCATTTCGTTATGAGACAGAGGAATAGCTATTGCAAAGCACTGTAGCAACCAGGAAATAGCTACCTCTGTGGTTTTTGGTTTGGTGCTGTTTATACGCTTCCTTTTTCATTTTTACACTCTAGGTTTAGCACATTTAAACTGAATTAGGAGCTCTCCTTCCGTTCCAAGCATTTTAAATTATAATCCTATACTTCTTAGCCACTGGGTGTACAATCTGGGAGTAATGGGAGATAAGAGTGTAATATATCTGGAGAGGAGATTAGGAAGGCTATGTAGGGAACATGCAAAGTACAGTAGCTCTCATCTACTCCGAGGCAAAGTTCAAGGGAGTTTTTCCACTTCTACCAGACGCAAGAAAGCTTTTCTAAGCCTGCCTTTTCTTAACTCGGCCGAGCTCTCTGAAGATGATAGGCACTATAGTTGGAAAGTTCAAGGTGGAAAAACTCAGAGCACCGTTGTGGTCCCGGTTCTCAGCCTATTTTTAAGTCCCACTCCCCGACCCACGAAACGTTTGCGCGCGCGCCGCAAATTTCCTTTTCGTCGTTATTTCAGGCTCTCCTTCCCTCCCTCCCTCTCTCCCTCCCACCCCCACTCCCACCCCCCTCGCACGTGAGCCCCGAACCCCACCCCCTCGCCGCCGACCCGTCTGGCGTCGCCGCCTTCCTCCTCACCCCTTTTGTGTGTGCGCGCGCGGTCGACCGCTCGCGCTGACGAGGAAGAAGGCGGAGGCGCGCGCGCAAAAGAGAGTGGCTCGCCGCGCCCCTTCCCTTCTTAGTTGCAACCAGCCATTGCCGGGGCGGCTTCCTGCTTACTCGCCTCCCCTCCTTTCCGTTGCTGCCTTTGCAGAACCTTCCCGAGGGCGCAGTTTTCGAGGCAGCAGCGGCGGCGGCAACAGTAGCATTCACACACAAACACACACACACACACAGAGACCCTTCCCTCCCCACCTCGCTTCGGTCGCCATGAATCCCAGCTGTGCCCGCTGCGGCAAAATCGTCTACCCAACCGAGAAGGTGAACTGCCTCGACAAGGTGGGTGCCGTGAAGAGAGAAGGCGCGAGCCCCGCGGGGTGGGTGGGTGGGTGGGTGGCTTTTGAGGGAAGCCTGTGAGGAACTGAAGTGGAGATTGCGGAGCCGAGGAGTGGGGGGGGGGAGGGGAGTCGAGGAGTAGCGGCAGTTGGCAGCCCGGAGGGAGACTGTTGTTGCTGGTTGCCCGGGTGGGGGGGGGTGTATATGTGTGTGTGGTGTGTGCGTGTGAAGGGAGAGTGTTCGTGAGGGACGGTTGGGGTGGAGCGGGGCAAAGATGTCAAGGGCGGGATGGTCGGTGCGGAGCGTGTGTGCGTGGAAGGAGAAGGGAAGGCGGGCCAATTGGAGGAGAGGGACAGGCAGGCAGGCAGGCAAGCTCCGAAGTGGTGGATTGCCGGAAGGGGAGAGCAGGCCAGGCTGAGGGAAGGAAGCGTGTGGAAAGCACAAAGGGGGCATTTTAGAGAGTGGCCATTGGGGAGCGGTTGAAGGAACAGGGCGTGGGAGGATAAGGTACAAGGTAGCCTGAACAAAAGGCGGGCTGCGTAGAGGAGGGAATGGGGGACGAGTCACCCGGGGGAACCTAGCGCTTCCTAGACGCGGTGGAGCTGAAGCAGCCTTTCTGGGTGTGGAGTGGCAAATCTGGTGGAGCTGAATTACATGTGCTTTCTGCGAATGTCTCTGTAGGGCCACTTAAAAAGCGACTTAACGGTTGTGGGGACAATATATAAAGTCTGGGGTTATCACCTGTGGAACGACGGTTGATGACACGTTGAAAGCTTCACACTTTGCAGGAGGGTAGGTGGTGGGGGCACCTATTAAGGTTCAGATTCTGCTTGCCGTGGGTTATACAGGAAAGAAGTCAATTTTGGAACCGAACCTAAGAGATGGTATGAAGAGAAATTTGAGAAGCCTGCTGATCTCTAGCGACAGGTGTGCCTTACTGCCAGTACAGTAGAGCTGCAAAGAAAGTATGAAATATATTCAACAGTTATGTTATTGGAAGTGTAGTTTAGGGAGGATGGAGTGGTAAAGAAAACTAATAAGATCTATATTTTCAGATTCTCAAAATTATGGACTAAATTGACATCAGTTTGAATTGGGAAATATTGCATAAAGACGTGGATTTAGGGAAGGGATGTTAAAAGGGCAAGCTATTGCTAAGTAATTAACACTTTTGGCATTGTTATGGTGGTTACAAATATAGCATCTATAATGTAAAGGCTTCTCACTTTTTCCTTTTGCAGTAATGTAACCTCAATAAAATTATGCAAATAGCCAAACCTAAGGCTTAGCAAAGCTTTGTTTTTAATTTTTCTTAATGTATTGATACCTTGCCTAGAAAGTATCTACTTGTTTTTTACTGTATTTTTATCAAATTACTTGCCCACTTTTTTTAAAAAAATAGAGGAATTACAAAATGATTTTCTCAAATTATTTCCAGCAAACAAATGAAATATATAGAACCACTGATTTTTATATTGAAGACATTCCAGTTTTGATTTGTCAAAATATACAGGCATTTGAGCCAGGTTGTCAATTATTTGTTTAAGCAAATGTTATGACTTTAAATAGTTTTCTTAAGAGTTTTAAAAGTCTGTCAAGAGAAGCTTTCTACCACTTTTTGCCACAATTAAAAAACAGCTTTGTTGTATCAATAGCTAAAAAGATGAACAAATTAGCCATCATCTGTTTTATATTAGATTCTATTCCCTTGCCACCTCCCTTTGGATCGATGATTACTGCAGTTTATTGAGTTTATAAGAACAGATCCTTTTTAAAAATGACTATTTTGCTGTTAAAAAAGAAACTGAGTCAAGTATTATAGGGACTTCGCTGTGTATCATGTTTATAACTACAAAAACTTATATGCCTTGCTCATCTTATTACATATTGGCTTTAAAAAGGTTCTGACTTTTTAGATTCATAGATGATGTGGCAACTTTGTTTCCTACTTACTATGCCTTTATTAAAGGGAGGAGATTTATGTCATAAACTGCAACAATTAATTATATACTCCTGAAATAGTGATGGAGCTAAATCTTAATGAAGTGTGAGTTAAATTTATGTGATGTACAGATAGAAGTTGGGAACTACAGGGTCACCACTTTTGCAGTAGACCTTCCTTAAACAGTTTACACTCACAATTGTTATAAGGCAGGCCTATCAAACTGGCAGCCCGCAGGCCGGAGACATCACGTGCAGGCCACGCCCACCCCATCTCCGCAAAGGCAGAAAACGTCGAGATACGTCAAGATACGGGCCATGACGCGATCAAGTTTGACACCCGTGTTATAAGGACTAGCTCATGCTTAGAAATGAATCTATGTTGTGGAAGGCATTCGATGGTAATTAAGAGGAAAGGGGAGGTTGTGCCAGTTATACAAGTGAAATTTTTCACTGCACTGTGCAGTAATCTTTTTTCTATTTATAATATAAACATGAAAATTATGTATGAATGTGCCATATGCTAATAAATTTGTGTGACACAACCTGAGCATTGTTTAGGATAATTGTTTTTTTAAAGCTCTGTTTTGGTATTAAAAAAATGCAAAAACTATGACATAAAAGCACATTTGGTCAGCTCCCAAAGTCCAGTCTGTGATTTAAAAGCAGTGAGACAGAGACTGAAATTTACTATAATATTTATTAGTTAAATTGTTATGATTGTCACTCTTCAACAATTGTGGGTGGACTTGCAAAGATTAACAGAAAAACAATATATTACGGTAATATTAACAAAATATGACCATGCCTGAAGGAGAGAAATTTGTTAACATTTCAGGGACATGTATCTTCCATTCAGGAAGATTAAGATTCCATTATACCTCTCCCAGCACAGAGCTTGGGGAAAGAGGAAGTAGTCTTCAGGGCTCTTTTGAATGACTGTGGTGTCAGGGGGTAATACCATTCACAAAGGCAGGTACTGCAGTAGAGAAGACATCTTTCCTTGGTCCCATGAGACAACATTGCTTAATAGGTGGGACCAAGCATGTCAACCCTGTTATCTTACAAGATCAGATAGAATTTGAGAAATAAATTTCCCCCCAAATATTTAAACCCTATTATAATTTTATTTTGCCTTTTTAATATTTAACTCAAGATGGCAAACATATCTAATCCAATTGTAATCCAAACATACCAAAGGAGCCACGGTGGCGCAGTGGTTAGAGTGCAGTACTGCAGACTACTACTGCTGATCACCGGCTGCCTGCAATTTGGCAATCATTCAAATCTCACCAGGCTCAAGGTTGACTCAGCCTTCTATCCTTCCGAGGTGGGTAAAATGAGGACTCAAAATTGTTGGGGGCAATATGCTGACTCTGTAAACCACTTAGAGAAGGCTGTAAAAAGCACTGTGAAGTGGTATATAAGTCTAAGTGCTATTGCTATTCTCCTGCCTATTATCATGTGAGTTGTATTGGTCTGAGAGCGAGTGCCTGGCTCCAATGTCACCCACCTCATCTTTCATGCCTAAAACTCCCATGGTCTCTAAATCATCATCTATGCTAGAAAGACTCTATTCCATGTAGGGCTTTATAGATAACAACCAACATCTTGAATTGTATCTGAAAGCCATCTAATAACTATATGGAATCTCTTACCAGATGGTGTTAGTTGACATTCTTTCTAATCTAATGGATTTGCTCCATATGTGGATCATTGTTTTGCCAATTTTCTAAATAGTAGCTCATGCAAGTTGTATTTCTTGATAAGTTGCATTTTTTATTAAAGCTCCATACTAAAGCAAGATCTGAAAATCTCAAATTTATCTGCATTGAAAATTATAAAATGGCATCTGTGTTTTTGTTCAGATACAAGAAATTGGTTGAACAATTTAACAATCTATACCAGGGGTGTTAAACTGGATTTCTTTGTGGGCCGGATCGGCATTGAAGTTCTCCACGGGCTGGCTGATGGGGGGAAGGGAGGGAGATGGGACGGGCGCCTCCTGCAGCACTCTGCTGCTGAAAATGGGGTATGGGGGTGTGCACAGCCCCCCTCTGCACCCCATTTTCAGCCTGGACAGCCTCCTGCAGCACTTTGCTGCCCAAAACGGGACACGGAGGGGCCACATGAGGTGCCCCACACCACATTTTCGACCTGGACAGCCTCCTGCAGCAATTTGCTGGCCAAAACAGGGCATGCTTTGGCTGGCAGAGTGCTTCAGGAGGCTGTCCAGGCTGACAACAGAGCACAGAAGTGGGGAGGCATGCATGGACCCCCTGGTGTCCTGTTTTGGCTGGCAGAGGCACCGCGGCCCAGATTTAAGCACCCCGTGGGCTGGATCTTGCCCGTGGGTCTTAAGTTTGACATCCCAGATCTATACCATGTATCAAGTGTTTATATTATTCCCATCTTGTATATAGAAAATGAAACAGAAAGATATACTAAACGAATACAGTGGCTGAATTTGGGTACTTCGGGTTTTTTTTTAATTTTCAAGTTCCTACATGCCATTTCTTAAGCCACACTGGCTATTGTTTAATTATGCTATAGAACTACTATGAATTTTTTTCTGATGTAGCAATAGTGACAATAGTAACAATAATCTAGCTATATTTTTGAACCTATTTACATTTAATTCACTATCTAAACATTTACTATTACATTCACTATCTAAATTTACATTTAGCTATATTTTTGTACCTAGTATCTATATTTATTTACAAAGGTATGAAAGAATGTTCCATCTCATCTCTAAAACTGGATTTTCATTGCATAATTAGCCAACCACGTTTTAATTTACTATGTGTAAAACTGTAGACTGTTTATGATTCCATGTATTATGTAAATACTAGGTTAATTAAATAATGAAAAAAAAACTGTCAAAGCTGCGATTATATATGATAGTTCTTAGCTGTCCTTTTTGTGGGCACTAATCATAATTTTCTACAGTGGCCACATTCAGTGTTAAAACATTCATACATAACGTATCTTTGGTCCCTCTTCATCTCAGAATAAATAACAGAATAACAGAGTTGTTAGAGGTCTTGCAAGTCTTCCAGTGCAACCCCTTGCTCAATCAGGAGGCCCTAAACCAGTGATGGCTAACCTTTTCTGGACCAAATGCCCATGTGTGCGGCCAAGCCCCCCAAATGCAATGCGCACGCAGCCCTTGCGCATACACCCTGCGCATGCATACATGGGCCACACCTGCCTTGCCCCCTGCACATGCACACATGCCCCCCACACACGCATCCATGCGCATGTGCAGTAGAGACCCGAAGACCAGCTGGCTAGTGGGAGGCGCGTGCACATGCACGGCAGGGCTGAATTGGGGTGACGGCTTATGTGCTCACAGAGGGCGCAGTGTGGCCCCTCTGGCACATGTGCCATAGGTTCGCCATCACAGCCCTAAACCATTCTGGACAGTGACTGACTAATTTCGTCTTCAAAACCTCCAGCAATGGAGAACCACAACTCTGGGATCATTTTTAAAACAATTAAAGATTTAGGAACTTAAAATACGGTTATCAATTTGAAGCAAATTGTCGTGTGAACTTGGCCTGTGTCAGACCACTTTTTAGGTTGGAAAGATTGCTATTTAAAAAATGTATTTGCCCAATTTTATTGGTAACTACAGTATTTTGTTACATATTAATGTGAATGACATATTATCTGATAACAGTATTCAAATTTGCCATGTATTTTATATTTGAGATGAAATTTGCAGTCACTCAAATTGTGTACATCATGAGGGTAAGAAGGCTCTGGTTTTTAAGAGCTATTTGAGACTTCCAATTACCCTTCATTTATTTGGTGACTGAAAACATAAAGTTGTATATGGGTATACATTAAATAGGTCCTGATTTTGGTTATGTCAAAGGTTCAGTGAAAATTAAAAAAAAATAAAAATGAACTACATGGAAATTGAGTTTCAGACTCGTATGAAAATACAAATCTGTTGCTCTAGGCAATAAAATGAGGCAGACTTCTCTTCTAATACTGATGAGTCATTATGTGCTCTTGTCATCTAGGCTGTATTTAAAAATTGGGTGTGGTGAATTCCCATGTTATTAACTGACTCCAGGATACTTTGCAATTATCACTGATTGTGGTTCAGAAGAGTAGCAAATCTAACTATTGTCCTTGATCATTAAATAGTAGTGTACCAATTCTTGCTTGATAGTCTTGTTTAGAAAACTGCTGCTTTGTACTTGATGAAAGAAAATAAGATATTAGATGGAATCTGTTAATAAAGAGGTCCATATGGGTACAGATACTCTTGAGAAACTTTGATTTTACTTCATATGTTACCTGATAGTTTTCCTAGAATTCTAAAATAATAAAATGTGTTACTTTTAATTGTCATGAAAGCGAAGTTAGTCTAACAAGCAGAATCTTTATGAAGATTTTAATGGGTAATTTTATACTTGTGATTCTGCTTCAATTTTCCCCCCTTCCAAAAGTGCTGAAGAAGGATTATCAAGAAAAATGAAGTCCAAAGTTATATGTAGTAAATAGATACATTTAATCAATTTTGATATCAAATGGAACCCTTGAAAAGAAATGGAAACAGATTAATTCTACAATATTATTGGAACATGTTATATAAAGTACATTAGTAAGTGGTCTAAAGCAGTGGTGAAATGTAAAATTTATTACTACCAGTTCTGTGGGTGTGGCTTGGTGGGGGAGTTAATGTGACTGGGTGGGCGTGGCCAACTTTTTTTTTTTTTAACTTTTAAAATCATTTTTTCTACAACCTCTTCGGCCAAAGAGGTTGTTAAAAAATGCTTTTAAAAGCCTCTGACAGTCAGGCAACTCAGCTGGGATCGTCTGAGGCTTTTAAAAGCATTTTTTTCTACAACCCCTTGAGCCGAAGAGGTTGTAGAAAAAATGCTTTTAAAAGCCTCTGAAGATCCCAGCTGAGCTGTGCGATCATCAGAGGCTTTTTTTTTTTCCTTTAAAAGCATTTTTTCGGGCGAAGAGGTTGTAGAAAAAATGCTTTTAAAAGCCTCTTGACGATTCCAGCTGAGCCACGCAATCATCAGAGGCTTTTTTTTTTTTAACTTTTAAAAGCATTTTTTTCGGCGGAAGAGGTTGTAGAAAAAATGCTTTTAAAAGCCTCTTGATGATTCCAGCTGAGCCACGCAATCATCAGAGGCTTTTTTTTTAACTTTTAAAAGCATTTTTTTCGGCGGAAGAGGTTGTAGAAAAAATGCTTTTAAAAAGCCTCTGATGATTGCGCGGCTCAGCTGGGCATGGGGGAGGGCGCAGGGATTTTTGCTACCAGTTCCTCGAACCACCGGTCTCCATCACTACCAGATCGGGTGATCCGGTCCGAACCGGGAGCATTTCCCCCCTGGTCTAAAGTACATACTACCTTGAATATTTTTCATTTGTCATCTTTTTCTCGTAATCCTGAAAAGATTGCCCTAACAGTTTGTTGAGGGTGTGGGATGTTGCGGAATGAACAGAAAGGGTTATACTAAATGTCCTCTTCTAAATCTAGTACTTAGTTCTGTCAGCATCTTGGAATTTAGTACTATTTTTAACCATTTAATTCCTAGCTGTTTTCTGTAAAATGGTTGCAGAAAGCTATTGTGCATTTTTTTCAGAATCATGTAATCATCTTATTCTTGTCATCTATTCTGTATTTTTTTATTGTCTCCCATAATACCCTCATATTTTTGTCCTTATGGTACATAATGATGTGCCCCTCTCAGAAACTATGTTCTAGGATTTTCTTGACATTTAAGATCAAAGAAGTGACTGAGATGCTTAGCTTCCATTTTATGGTTTAATACAATTTCAATTTAGGTAGTTAAGTAAAAAAATATTATTTTACTACATGGGCTCTCTAGTTCATCTTCTACTGTGAATACAGGTAGTCCTCAATTTACAACCACACTTGGGATTGGAATTTCCATTGTAAGTTATATTGTTATTATGCAAGTCATCAAACCTGATTTTACAACAATTTTTACTAAATTAAGTGAATCTCCTGATTATTAATTGAATACAATTTCCTCAATTGATTGTGCTTATCGGAAACAGTTGGGAAGGTTGCAGATGATTACCACAGGATTCTGCAATCAATTGTAAATGCAAACCAGTTGCCTAGTGTCCAAATACCGATCAGTGGTGTGATGGTTGTAACTTCAAAGACACATTGCAAATCACTTTTCCCAAGGCCATCATAAGGTTGAACAAATGGTTGTAAACTGAAGATTACCTATATATTAGAATAATTGCAGGTAACAATTCAGTGCTACTTTTCTCAGTTCAGAAATTTTTGTTCCTATTTCAGAAGACATAAAATCTTCCACTTAGAAATGCTAGCATGAACTAACTCTGTTCTTAATCTTGATGATAAAATAGCTATCTTTCAAACCAATGGGAAACTTGATTTTCTTATGTGTCAGAATAGTATTGCTGTTGTAAGATCACATAAAATAACTTCCATCTGGGAAGTATTATTGTGGGCCTTTAGTCAGATGGAATTTATATATTTCTGTATTCTAATTTTATACAAATCTGTGAGAGCAGGGATTCCCACCCATGGGCTGCGGACTGGTACCGGTTCATGGCCTGTTAGGAAACGGTCTGTGTGAGTGAACAAAGCTTCATGTGCACATGTGCAGGATTTAGTTTGCAGGACAAACACACACATCCCAGCCTGTGGAAAAATTGCCTTCCACGAAACCAGTTTCTGATGCCAGAAAGGTTGGGGACCACTATGTTAGAGTTAATAGGTTTAGTAGTTACAAACTAATTATTTTAAGAACTTAACTACTGTTTTTACTAATTAAATAAAAAGACATGTTTGTCCTGGACTTGTTCAGTTTTTGTTTTTACATTTCAGCAACATAAAGTTCTTACAGTGAGCATCTTTCTAAAAAATGCATCAGGATTGGTACAAAGACTTGTTACCTTTGGATATATATTCTTTAGTTAATTAATCCACTTGCACTGTTTCTTATATTTCTCTAGTACTGGCATAAAGCATGTTTTCATTGCGAAGTCTGCAAGATGACTCTCAACATGAAAAACTACAAGGGCTATGAGAAGAAGCCATACTGCAATGCGTAAGTATGCTTTTCAGAGTTTTGCCCTCATAATTCTAGAGATGCGCAGATTAAAACTATTTTGTAAGGAACTATACATTTATAGATCTTGGTTGAGATCTTAAACCATTTGCAGATAAGCAATATGAAAAAAAAACTGATTGAAGAATGTTCTCATCGCATTCCTAATCCTATGCAGTGCATTTTAGTTTTCCAAATCTCTAAAATGGACTGTGTTTCTTTTCTTGATAAATATGAAATTAATGGCAATAATATATTAAATGACAGTGATACCAGCATAACATCTTTTGCCAAAGAAAAATATTGGTGCCACTGTTGGTTAATAAGATAGTAACAAAATATAAAAGAAAAGTTGTGGTTTCAGTAAAAGAAAAAAAAGTCAGAAATAATTCCTTAGCAATAATCTAATGGAAAAACTTGCAGAGAAGTTTCCAGACTGAGGAACAACTGTGATAAAGCAGAGTGGTAATCACTGAAAGAAGAAGAGCTACAAGATGAACGTATTTAAACATGCTTTGGAAAGTAATGAAGAACCAAGTATAAGAAAGTACTGCAAGGGGAAATTTTAGTCAGCAGTAAGGAGAAGAATGTTTTGTGAGATATAGCCTTATTATTAAAAAGAAAACCTGAGAGCAAGTTACAATTAGAATGAACTTTTTAAATGAAGAGCTAAAATATCATTTAAAGAACTTTTAAAATAATATTTTATTCCAGATTATTTTGAGTATTCGAATATGCCATAGTTATGCATAGTGACATATTCGAACTATAGTGTTCGAATATGGCAAGCCTTTAAATTCACCAAACCATTGTTAATATATATCTGCCAATAAAATAGCAGTTATGGGTTACATTTCTGCTGCTGTTGACTGGAGCTCCTGAAGAAAAGAAAGTCTTAGGTAAGAAAATTTATTAGGAGAATAAATTAAATTCATTACTATTTGCCTAGTAAATAAATTGAATACTGGGTATTTACAGTAGTGGCCAAAATTGTGGAAACCTTTTGGGAAAAGTGTATTTTTGAGGTTTGATGTCTAATAACACCACTTACTTTGAGAGTAGTACCATAAAATTATATATCAATGGAAAGATCATTTAATCAAGAATGTAATGCAACAAAGTTCATTCAATTATCTGTATTCTAGGAAAGGTTATAGCCAAATAATCAGAAAAAGGAAGCACAACTTGCTTAGGTTGATATCAGGTAGTTTTCCTTCATCTGATTGTAGCCAATGACCATGAGTGCTTAGAGAGCCAATCATCTTCTTTTGGCAATGAGCCAATCAGATCACAATATGATTCAGTTATTGATGTCCTGTGTTGAAGCTAAGAGGAGGACATTTGTCTGTATTATGTGATTGCTATCAAGTTGGCTGGTTTTTTTTTGTGTTCTTTCATTTAGTGAGCTTCTAAAACGTAATAAAATTAAAGTAATGGTGCAAAGAGTTAACTGGTCACCCAGAAAGCAATGTAAAATAGTATTATTAAGTGAACAAGGCTACAGTTATAAAGAAATTAGAAGAAAAATCGGTGGAAACTTAATCAAAGGTGGCATTTCTAAGTTTTTGAAGAGATATAAGGAGACTCAGTCACTACAAAACCACACTGGTAAAGGCAGGAAAAGGTGCACAACAGCAAGTGATGATTGAAGAATTAAAAGACTGTGCCTACATGACAGAAGAAAATCATCTGGGTTTATACAAGATGAAATGGTGCAATGCAATGTGAAGTTGAGGGCAAGGACTGTTCGGTGCAGACTGCAGGAATTTGGCCTGAAATCTAGAATTCCACAGAAAAAGCCACTTTTATCTCTCAAACAAAGGTTAAAAAGCATTACATTCTTGATTAAATTATCTTTCTATTGATATATAATTTTATGGTACTACTCCAAAACAAAGTGGTGTTATTAGCCATCAAACCTTAAAAATATACTTTTCCCAAAAGATTTCCACAATTTTGGCCACTACTGTATGTATGTATGTAATGTATGTATGTATGTATGTATGTATGTATGTATGTATTTATTTATTTATTTGTTTGTTTGTTTATTTGTTTATTTTGCTTATTTTGTTTATTTTGTTTATTTTGCTCTGTGAATTTAGGGTTAAGGGTTTGTGTTGTAATAACTTATCCTGCAAGTGTAATGAAATTGAAATATTTCACCTCTATAGTAGACGAAAAGAAAGTTGCTTCAATAACTAAAATGAAACACTGAATGGCGCTGCCACAACAGCTATTGGTTCACTCAATTGGTACTTAGGGTAGAAATCTAACATTTATTTACACACACACACACACACACACACACACACACACACACACACACACACCATTCTATAGCCATAGCTCCAAAAATTGAAGATTTTCCAAATGTACAACCTTCATAGATTATCACATTGATTCTGTACAATGAAACCATATGTTAGTAGTCCTGCAACCAACTACAAATAGCCAGTAAAATCCAAAATGGCATCTGGGATGCTTTAGGAACATTTGCAGAATATTCCTAGTTTTTCACCAATGCAAGCTACTCTAGAGAACATATCCCCATGGAAGAACATTCCTTGCAGGACACCAAGGAAAAGCTGGATAAAGCAAGTTGTAATTGGTTTAGCCCATTGCAAGCTTGACTTAAATCAAGCCAAAAGAACAGCAATGGATAAAGTACTTTGGCAAAGCATTGTATCAAATGTCTTTGGCTATGTAGCACCCAATCAGAAAATGAGTTGCAAAATTGTACTTATTTAATAGTATGCTAGGGAGATAAGACTCAAGTATATGTCATACTTTCTTTTTTCTTTTTATTAAAGTTTATTATAAAATAAAATATAAATGAAAACAAAAATTGAGAAAAGAAAAAATGCAGAAAGTAAAAAAGAAAAAAGTAACCTTTGACTTTTTAATCCAGAAGAGTACAAAAAATGTTACAAAAACGCCTCAATGTTTTGCTTTACATTTGTAAATGTTTCAAGCCATTTCTATAATAAAATCATTTTAATTATCAAAATTTAAAATGTTATTTTTTTAAATGAAAAAATATAGAAACATTTTTAAATAGAAACAAAAGTAAATATGTTTTCCTCTTTATTTAGAACAGTCAATTTTGCCAACCCCGACAATTATTAACCATTCTTCAATTGTGGGAATTAATGTATGTCATATTTTTTTTCTCAAGTAGATTGCCTGTGCAGGTATGGTAGTCTTTGAATTAAGCTTTCAATTTGGACTGGAATTTTGGTTGCTAAGCTATGTGGTCATTAAGCAAGTCATCACATGATCAGATCAGATTTTATGGATATTTTTACTGTGGTAGTTAAGCAAACCAAGTGGTCATTAAGTGAATCACATGGTTATGAAATGAATTTGACTTCCCCAATTGACTTTGCTTGTTGGAAGTCATTGCAAATCGTGATTATGTGACCACAAGATTCTACAGCATCATAAATAAAAGCCGCTTGAATTGCAGTCATGTAACTGTAAGGTTAGTACAACAGCCATAAAATTGAGGACTAAATAAATTTGCAGAATAAACTAAATAAAATAGATTAAATAATGTAAATAAATTTTTGAAGCCTTTATAACTTTGAGCCATTGTAAAACAGTTGCAAATTAAGGATTACCTATATTGTACTATGCCTATACCAGTGATGGCTAACCTTTTCCAGAGCAAGTGCCCAAACTGTGCGTGCATCTGAATGCGCGTGTGCCCAAACCCCCAAAATGCAATGTCCATGCGGCCTCTGTGCATGTGTCCCACACGTGTGCATGTACCATTCATGCACATGCTCCGTGCATGCGCGCAGCCCCACACGTGCACCCCGTGCATGCACACACGGGCCCCGCATGTGCTCTGCTCCAATGTATGCGCAATACAGACCCAAAGACCAGCTGGCCAGTGGGAGGCGCGTGCACATGCAGAGCAAAGCTGAACTGAGGCGACAGCTCGCTTGCCCACAGAAAGGACGCTGCATGCCATGTCTGACATGTGTGCCATAGGTTCGCCATCATGGGCCTATATCTTTTGGATAGATTTAAGATTAACATCATTACACCACTATGTTATTTCGTATTTTACTGAGTTTTACAACCATGCCACTAAACAGAGAAACATTGTGTTAGTATATGAACTAACAACCAGAGAATGTATTTTTGCTGTTATTTTACTGTTTTGGGTCTGTGAATAGAAGTAAATCCATGGTTATTATTTCTTTATTAAGGCTCTGTTCCCTGCTATTAGAGCATGCTGCAAAATCATGCTTCATTGTTTTCACATTACTGCCCATTTCTCACTGATAGGGCCAGGGGTGGGCTTCAAAAATTTTAGCAAGCTTGCCCTATTGCTGGGTGGGTGTGGCATGGTGGGACGTGGCCTAGTCAGCCTCCTGCACCACGGCGGGGGGGGGCATTTTTGCCCTCTCCAGGCTCCGGAGGCTTTCCTTGAGCCTCTGGGAGGGCGAAAACGGCATCAAACTTGTCGCTTGATAATAAAGTTCCCAGTTAGGTAAACCAAAACCCCCTCTCATTCTAGCATTTTGTAACAACTTTAATTTTATCCTCGCCTTCTTTCCCTGCCAAATATATTTTAACACTATTTTATTCAATTGTTCGAAAAAATCTTTCCCTAATCTAATTGGAATTGTCTGGAACAAATATAAGATTCTAGCAAAATATTCATCTTAATATTGATATCCTCCCAATCAATGATAATTGTAAGTTTTCCCATTTCGCCAAGTCTGTCGCTATCTATTGTTTAAGTTTGTTATAATTATTTTCTTTAAGTGTACTACATCTTGCTGTCAAATGTATCCCCAAATATTTGACTTTATCTGCATCTTTGATATATCCGCCAATTCTTTTTGCTTTACCAATATATTTTTAGTCAGAATCTTCATTTTGTCTTTATTAATTTTCAAACCAGCTACTTTCCCAAACTCTCCTATTTTATCTATCAGTGTAGTTATTGATATTAATGGATCTTCAAGAATGAAAACCAAGTCATC